CTATGTGGATGCAGTTATGTTTATATAGAGAGAGGTGAGAGGCATCTTTGCGGATGCAGTTATGTATATATAGAGGTGAGAGGCATATATGTAGATGCAGTTATGTGTATATAGAGAGAGGTGAGAGGCATCCATGTGGATGCAGTTATGTGAATCTATACAGATAGGTGAGAGGCATCCATGTGGACGCAGTTATGTGTATACACCTGATAAAGGGGAAGACCCTTGGCAAGATAGGCTGGCACCATGGCAGCAACCGTGGGCTCAAACACAGGAGGCATTGTGAGGCTGGCGCAGGACCAGGTATTGTTTCATTCGGTAGTACATGAGGTCGCTGTGAGTCAGAACTGTACATGACGGCACTAACAACACAAAATAAAGGCAGGTGCGTGCGTGCGTGCGTGTGTGTGTGTGTGTGTGTGTGTGTGTGTCTGTGTGTCTGTGTGTGGATCCACCTACCTGCCTTATCATCTCCCCTTCTATACTATACCTGAGAACAAGAGGAAAGCTATCCAGCCTCTCCTCTGGGTCCCGGAGTGTCTGGTGTGCCCAGCCCCTGGCCCCTCACTAAGTCTAGATGGTTCTCCAGCTCTGCGGCAGAGACCAGAGTGGCAGCCCACTCCTGCCCCAGCCCTAAGCCCTTGTGAGGGGCCGGGTCCTGGGCTATGTCACAGCGCCTGGCCCACTCGTAATAGGCTTCATTCTCCTCTCTCTCTCTGTGTGGAGCCAGCCCCCTCCTCAGTCCCAGGAGCAGGGGCACTCTGCCCCTAACGAGCTCAGGGAGGTCACATCCAGTGACCACAGCACAGGAGCAATGACAAGGATGTCATGGAGTGCAAATGGTGCTTTCCCTAAGAACGTAATGGTGTGTGTGTGTGTGTGTGTGTGTGTGTGTAGAAAGAAACCAACACGGCTCCCATCGTGAACCCCTGGGTGACGGTATGAAGGGTGGCTTCTCTGTTCCCTTCGGTTGCTAGATTGCAACCTTTTCTGCACAGTGCACCTGTCCTTCTCACCCACCCTCACCCCACCTGCCAGACACCTGGTGCCAGGTGTTAACCCGATGCCCCTTCCTTGCTCTCTAGGCCGTGTTGATTGTGGTCACCGTGGCCTTCATCCAGGTGCGTATCTTCCGAGCCCGGGGCAGGGTGACCGGGCATGGCGCGATTCCTGAGCTTGTGCCGCTGTGACCGCCTCATCTGATGGGCTTCCTTCCAGGAGTACCGATCGGAGAAGTCTCTGGAAGAGCTCACCAAGCTGGTCCCGCCCGAATGTAACTGGTAAGTCGGAACCCATGACAATTGGGTATCAGCTGCGTCCTGTGCGGGGTGACCTGGAGAACCCCTCAGTGTGCTGCTTTGTGTCTCACTCAGCCTCTCTGGGCCTCACCTCATTCCTGGGCATCCATCTCGGGTGGAGGTCCAGCAGGATGGTCTAGTAGGCATCTGGTGGGTGTGTAAAGTGGCGTCCACTGTTCCCCCTCGCCGAGAGGTCCGGTTCGGAAGTTTTCATGAATCCTCAAAGGGGGCGCTCAGAAGAAGGGAGCTGGGCTTTCAGAAGCATCAGCGCTGGACTGGAGGCCGGATGCCACAGAAGCAGTCTGTCAAGTGGCTCACGAGCTGATCTCTACCCTCGCGCGTCTGCGTCTTGGTCTCCATGTACTGTGCAGTCTGTCACGCTCACAGAGCGGGGCCTGCCAGGCCTCATCTCTCGCTGGGGTGGGGTGGGGTGGGGTTGAACCCCTGACCTTTAGTTTAGTCTCACAGCACTTGGCTGAATTTCCCAGGTGACACACAGGGCTGCCTGAGCTCAGCCCGGTCACCGAGGGGGAGCATGGGTGCTGGGACCTCTGCTCAGCCATCCCGGGGCCCCTCTCATTCTCCACCCCCAATGCAGCACCCGAGAAGGGAGGCTTCAGCACCTGCTTGCACGAGACCTGGTTCCCGGAGACATCGTGTCCCTCGCCATCGGAGACCGCATCCCGGCTGACATCCGCCTCACGGAGGTGAGCACCTCGAAGCCTGCCCCGAGGGGCATGCAGACCCCTAGATCTCCTAGGGGGCAGGTGCTCACGCCGTAGCCTAGGTCCCCCTGCAATACGTGGGCCTGTGTTCCCATGTGCCTGTGCACAGAGAAGATAGCCTTCGGTGTTTCCCCATCACTACGTGCCCTGCTGCACCCTCGTGTGCCTGGGGAGGATGCTCCAGAGGATCTCCCGGGGCTGATCCTTGGGCGTGGGTTGCCAGGCCTTTCTTCTGCTGCACCTCTGGGTGGGCTGGAACTACCACCTTTCCATTCACATCACCAGGGGCTCCACTTTGAGTCCATGGCCCACCAGCCACAGTGGTTTCATAAGCCCATCAGCGCTGGGCTAGGGCTGGCCAGTCCAGGGTTGGCTGCGCTGGCAGGTCAAACTGGGGTAAGGTTGGGTAATGAGGTAAGGGTGGCTTCCAGAAATAGGGTGACTCAAAGAAGTCCCATCCGGCAGGCAGAGGAGCCTCCTGAAACACACACACCAGGAAGAGCACCACCTCCCTTTCTCCTGTGTAGCGTGGGAGGTTAGGTATGGGCAGGTCATCCTACTGGGTTTGTGGGCAAGAGGCAGTTTGGAAAGATGGTTACGAGTGGAGGGCTGGGTCCAGAACCAGGGTTCCAATGCCTGCTCTGCCACCACTAGCTCTGTGCCCTGGAGTGAGTCGCTGAACGGCTTTGTGCCTCTGTTTCCTTGGTGGTAAATGGAAAAAATGCTGGCGCCATCCATGCAGGGGGTGAGAAATAAGAGAGAAATTTGGGAGAAGTGCTTAGCCCAGGACCTGGCTTGTTGCAGCTCCCTTCTTGCATGTGTCTGTCCGTGTGTCTGGCTACCATGGAGTCACTGCCCACTGTCAGCAGGGAACTATCCTCCAGTGGGTTTCAGTGGCTGCTCTTTCAGCAGGAGATCACCACGCCTTTCTGCTGAGGCACTTCAGCATAGACTCAAGTGGCAGGGTTTTAGCGAGCAGCCAAATATGTAACATGTGTGCACCTCCCACAGACTTCAAGGGAAATTAGCTGTCACTACTGCTGGGTTCAGTGATGTTCCAGTGAAGGTGATGTGGCTCTCATCAAAGAGGGCAGGGCATGTCATGTCAGGGGAAGGTCAAAAGTGCTTTGAAAGGTGTATTCTATGTTAACCACCACTTTAATATTTTTAAATTGCAGCAAAATTCCCTATAGCATTAAAAGAAAGCAAGAGTTTTATTTTATTGTATCTATTTATTTTTCCAAAAGAGGCCATACACGCAAAGTAGTTCAGAAGAGTTTCTGATGGTTGGAAGCCTCTGGCCAGTATTCTGATACCCGTTCCCCAATCCTACCTGTTCCCCAACCCTGCATGTTCCTTGTTTGCCATCCACTGTCAAATAACACTTAGGGAGTGGGACTAGCATGCTGAGCTTTTACAGCCGCCGTGCTCGGGGTGAGAGGGGCGGTCCCACACGCTTATCCTTTTGCCCCACAGGTGACAGACCTCTTGGTGGATGAGTCTAGTTTTACCGGCGAGGCTGAGCCATGCAGCAAGACAGACAGCCCTCTGCCAGGCGGGGGTGACCTCACCACATTAAGTAACATCGTCTTCATGGGCACACTGGTGCAGTACGGGAAAGGCCAGGTGAACCCAGAGTCCCAGGCCCCAGCCTCCCTTTCCCTCCCCAGCACCTCCCCCAGCCCGCCAATCTCACTCTTCTCTCTCCTGAATGCAGGGTATTGTAATTGGAACAGGAGAGAGGTCCCAGTTCGGCGAAGTCTTTAAGATGATGCAGGCAGAAGAGGTAAGGAAGGCTCTCTGGTCTCATATAACAATGGACTTTTGAGGTTATTCTAAGTTGACGGTACCAGTTGTGCCCACCTCTTGGTATGAGGATAGTGTGGTTAGCCTGGGTACCTGTTTTTTTTGTGGTTGCTGTTGTTAGTGACATTTGTTTTTAGAGCTGTTTAGGGTTATAGAAAAAGATATGCTCCCTTTTTTCCATGCCGAATCTCACCTCTGATCAACATCTTGCACCCCTGTTGGATGTCTCTTATAAACGAAAGACCATCTCAAGGCCTTACTGTCGGCGAGGGGCCATGGTCTGCTTTGGGGAGTCCGGGGGCGCAGTGGAATCAATGCTGGGCTGCTGCCTACTACAGAGTTGGTGGTTTGAACCCATCTTCTGCTCTGTGGGAGAAAGATGTGGGGGGCCGCTTTGGAAAGAGTTACAGCCTTGGACACCCCAGGACAGCTCCGCTCTGTCCCGCGGGGTTGCTGTAACACAGAACGGACTCGGGCATTCAGCAACAGCCCAGCATAGCTCGGGAGAGGATTCAGTCCGCTGCATAGCCTGATGGGTTTTGTTTTGTTTGCTTGTTAACCATGTTCTGGTGGCTTGGGTGAAATGTACAGAGCAAGTTCATTTCCCATCAACAACTCAGGCACATTTTGTTTGGTGACATGGAGTGCCGTCCCCACAAGGTGACAGCACTCACCCCGATTCTTCTCTGGGTTCCCCATTTCCATTCGCCCATCTTCCCTGCCCTTTCCTGCCACCTAAATTTTGTCTTGGGGCAAATATAACCCTTTGGGGTCCTGTTGGTTGATTGTTCGAGGAGGGTGTTCCTCGGGTGCTTACGTTAGAGGCCTGACCTTTGTTTGGCTGAACGACGATTTCTAGGAGTAAATTCAGTTCCAGATTAAAGGGGGTTCAAGGGCCACAGTTTCGGGGGGTTCCCATCCTTCATCAAGTCTGGTCTTTCCTATGATTTGGAATTTGACTCTACATTTTTTCACCCACCCCGACCAGGACTTTTTACAGTGACCCCGATCAGAGCTGTCCATAGGGGTTGCTGGGTACCATCTGGTTCTGCTGGTCTCCACCTTGTGAAGGCTGTAGTCCTGGGTCCATCAGTCCTATGGACTAAGTGTCCCCTAGAGTGTTTGAGTTTCTTCCTCTTCTTTGCTCTGGAAGAGGCCACACAGTGTATCTTAGATGATGGCTCCTAAACTTTTAGACTCTGGGCACCACTCATCGAAGTAGACATAGACCATTGTCTTTCTGGATGATGGTGTCGCGGTTGCCTAGTCGTCCCAGAGCCCTATGGGTTTTGACAATTTGGAAAGTCACATGTCCGACAACACTGTTTCCCTGTCCTGAACATGCCTTGTGTTTCATCTGTTCCTCCACCCCGCCACCCCCCTCGGAGCACATCTTTTAAATGCTTATTTTCAGTGTAATGTTGATGTTAGGAGGTAGCCTACAGTGAGGGCACAGGAATCCAGTGTCAAGGTCGGGAGACTCTCCCACGTCTGCACCCCTGTGTAACCATCACCCGGAATAAGAACCACCTGCGGGCCACCAAAGGGCTGGTGTTGCTGCTCCTGAGTCCCCGTCTCCTAGACCGGCTATTGTTTCTCTCCCAGACGCCCAAGACGCCCTTACAGAAGAGCATGGACAAGCTGGGGAAGCAGCTCACGCTGTTCTCCTTCGGCATCATCGGTGAGTGGGGCTGTCTGTGTGGGCTCTGGGGGCTCCACGCGGCCATCTGGGGCAGCCTCAGCCATTTCTCAAATGCCCTGTGGACTGGGGTGGGTGCACAGGCAGCAACAAGAGGCTGCTGCAGACAACAGTCCTTCATTGAAATGGTTTAAATGGAGAGGTCACTCAGTATAGAAGTCCCCGCTCCCAGATGGGGGATGGAGGCTGGATTCATCATCAGCCACCACCCGCCCATCCCTGGAGACTTGTCTGTGTTGCTGGGGTGCTGACCAGGTTCAGCAGAGCGTTCAGACTAAGGTTAGGAAGAAAGATCTGGCAATCGACTTCAGAAGGCCAGCCAGTGAACACCCCACAGGACACCCCGAAGGTGTGTCCTGACACAGGTATCTGTGTCAGGCCGGGCTGACTAGAGAAGCAAATCAACATATGTATAAGAGAGAGCTTTCTATCAAGAAGTAATCACGCATCAATAAAACATCCCTGCCCAGTCCAACTCAAGTCCTTAAGTCTGACACGAGTCCCTAAGTCCCTCTCCAGACTCATGAAGCCACGTGCAATGCTGCCACCTGCAGGAAGCTCACAGGCCGGTGGGTGCAGAGTCATGTGGGTCCAGTGGTGGTGGTCCTGTCATAGATCTCCGCAGGTCTCCACGTGGTCCGTCAGCAGGAAGGTGAAGGCAGAGAGAGACAGAGAGAGAAAGAGGGGTGGGGGGCAAGTTCCCCAATCCTCCTTACAAGCAGGCCACACCCACCAAGAGGTTCCACCCCTGCACTCTTAGGTCTTCAAGTTGACATGAAATTACGTAACGTCTGCAGTATCTTTCTTATAGCGAGAGCCATAGGTGGTTATAAATGGGTTATTCGCCGGATTAACAGTGGTTCCCCACAAAGCATCCTGAGAGTCGGTGAGGAGATCTGTGTGTGGATGTTGGCAAAGCCACGTGTGTTTGCATCTCGCCTCCCTGCAGGGCTCATCATGCTCATTGGCTGGCTACAAGGGAAGCCGCTTCTCAGCATGTTCACCATCGGGGTGAGGTAAGGCCACCACCCGCAGAGGCCCACGTGTCCCCACATACTCCTGGTCCTTTCAGATTTTTTTAAACTTTTATGGTGATTTGGGTGAATTTCTGTAGGGCAAACTGGTTTTCTGTTCCACGGTTCTTGCAGGCTTTGCGACTGTGACACAGATGGCAGCCCCACAGTGTGACGTGGCTCTGCCCACTTCTTGCCCGTCTTTTCCACTTCCCATCTTCCTCTTTCCCTTGCTGCCTCCTCTGAGCTTTCTTGTGGTTGGAGGGTCTAAAACGTTCCTACCTGCTGGGTGCTGGTGCAGCCGTTCGAAGCCCGTGTCTGGTTTGACTGAAGGCTGAGTCAAGGGAGTGAGGTCAGTTCAGGCCTGCAGGTGAGTGAGGGCCACCACCTCAAGGTGCACCAGTCTTGACCCGCTGGGGCCTGTGACCCCCTTCGGATGCGCTCACCTGGCTTGGCAATATGCCACAGAGAGAGAGCTCACCTGGCCGCGTGGCATGGAGGGGATGAGGTGCTTCGGTTCTCATCAACCCTCAAAAGCCCCAGGGGACTGCTGAATCTGGAGAGAAATCAAAATCACAGAACAGCCGGCAGGCAAGAAAGAAGTTTCTAGAGCCAATCCATGGAGAGTTGTCCCTTTTCAGGCTTTATCCCAAACCCCTATGGGCTGAGAGGCATTCCCAATGGAACGGTCCAGGATTCAGGGATACCTCGTTAAATTGCACCCCATTTGGTTGTATGAGGGATGCTCTGGAAGGGGTTATTACTGTCTATACAGCAGTTCTCAATCTGTGGGTCGAGACCCCTTTGGGAGTCAAACGACCCTTTTACAGGGGTCGCCGGATTCATCACAGTAGCAAAATGATAGTTAAGAAGTAGCAACGAAAATAACTTTATGGTTGGGGGGTCACTACAACATGAACTGTATTAAAGGGTCGCGGTGTTAGGGAGGTTGAGAACCGCTGCCCTAGAGGGATAGTAGGTCTTCAGAGACGGAGCCCTGGTGTGCAGTGGGTTCCACGTGGGACTGCTAGCCCACAGGTGAGCAATTCAAACCCACCTTCCACTCCTGGGGAGAAAGACGAGGCTTTCTACTCCCAGAAAGATGAACAGTCTCGGTGACACATACAGGAGCAGTTCTACCCCGCCCTATCGGGGCATTATGAGTCAGGATTAACCCGATAGCACTGAGTGTGTGTGTGTGTGTGTGTGTGTTTCCAATCAAGCTTCACAGAGATTGGGGCGCTGTTTTGTTCGGTCTTACCATCGGAACCTTCTTGGCATCTGTGTGTAGAGTGAGTCCCTAGCACTGTTTCCCAACAGTGTGTTCTCATCTGTGAGTCTGTGGCCCGTGTTCGTCACTCTACAGTATTTCAGACATTTTTGTCACGTTGTCACACACCTCACAGGCCATTGGGTAGGGACAGAGTTACTTTGGTGCGAATGCACTGTGGAACCAGGATATGTGTGGAACTCACTGGGAAATGATCGGTGCTGGATTGAGGTGGTCTGGAGCCAGGCCCTTGGCATCTCTGATTCTCCTAGCCGGGTCTAGTCTTGTCCAATCTGTGGGATCACGTTTTATTACGATGGGACTCTCGGAGTACCTGCAAAGCCGGCCCTTCCCGCACCATGCAGGGGACCACACCCTAGGACAGGTAGAACTTCTGTGAATTTCCAAGATGGTAACTCCCTCTAAGAGCAGAGAGCCTCCTCATTCACCCAGGGAGCAGCTACTGGGTCCAAACCATGTGTACCCCGCTGAGCCCCTGGAGGTCCGTGTACAGGCCAGTCCCTGCGACAGCCCTCGGCAGAATGTTTAGCTCCTCTCCTGCCAGCCTGCCCCAGGACACGGAGAGCACCTTCCTGCCACGCCCATGCTGTGATCTTGGTTGACCTCATCCATCCTGGGTGTTCCCAGGGCGCTGGGGTGAAATGTCACCATACAAAGCCTATATTTCTCCGATTCTGGGAGGCACGGTCATTTTTCACTTGGTCACCTCTCTGAAGTGAAAATTCTGCTGCTTCATGCCATTGGGGGTGGCCAGTGTTATTTCATTAAGAACAAGACAGAACAAAGGCATTGTCGGGTACCATCTTGTATGTTACTCCATGCACCATAGGGGCTAGGAGGAAGGTGTTAAGAAGGACGAGTCCCAAGCAATTTGTCTTGGGAACACTCTTGCCCACAGGATATTTGGTGGCAGTTCCTGATGCAGGAGGGCCCCTGAAACACCTTCCAGAGAGTTGACAGTCCCCTCAAAGCCACTCACTGGAGCACTCTTTTGCCCATCTCAAGTCTGTCCCCCAGTGGAAGGTCATCAACCAGCCGGCCTCCATGTCTTGGAGCCATGGGTCAAGGGAGTCCGGTCCTGACAGCCTGCAATAGGTCTGACCAAAGCACCCACAGGAGGGGCGTCCATGTGCCTCTGCCCCCTCCATACTCCCAAGACAGACTCTCATTGGTCCAACATGCCCTCCTCTCAGCCAGTCAGTACCGTCTGTGGGGCAATGGAGCTCTGTGGTGTGGAAAGTTATTAGCAGAGTTATGAAGAGAGCAGAGCAGACACCCCTAAACTTATCTACTGCAATACATGAGGGCTCCCCTGCCCCCGCCTCAGTCCTTGTGTGGCTCCCTCACGGGAAGGCCCTGGGCCATGAACGCTGCCGACACCTCTAAATGCATTAACAGTGATCTACTAGGTGATGGAATCGTGTTACTAGTGATGTCATAGGTGACATTATCATGCAACGTTCTACATCATGATAACCTGTTGCCATCAAGTTCATTCCGACCCTGTGTCGTGTATCGGTATGTAAGCAATAATAGCGATGTGCTGGGTAATAGCGTTATATAACATTCTACATCATGATAACCTGTTGCCATCAAGTTTATTTTAGCTCGTCGTTGTCACCCCAGAGGACAGGGTAGGCAGCCCCACGGGGTTTCCAAGGCTCTCGGTCCTGATGGAGGCCGCCTGCCTCATCTCTCGCCTAGGGCGGGGCTGGGCTGAACTCTGCGTTAGCAGCTGTGCACGTAGCTTAACCATGATCCCCATCGTTCCTCCTCTTCTCACCCAAACGTCGGCACATTCCAGCACACAGCGGCCCTCCAGCCCAGAGGAGGTTCCCGGAACTCTAAATCCTTTTAAAACTAGACAAACTCATCTGTTTCCCTCGGAGTGGCTGGTGGGTTTGAACCACCCACCTTGTGGTTAGCAACTCAATGGGTAACCCGCTTGCCACCAGAGTGCCTTTTCCTTTCCCCACAAGTGAGACATATTTAAATACAGAAGCGCTCAGCGGGAACCTGGCTGTCAGACTAATTCAGACTACAGTGTGTGTGTTTGATAGGAGAAGCCCGAAGGAGGAGGTGTTGGGTGTCACATGATTAGGAGTGGAGACTGGGAGGACACCTAGGCCACACTTCCTTAGCTGGGCAACATGACCACTCTCCAATGTACATGGCGCTCCAGTGTATGTATCACAGGTGACCCGTCCATCTGTCCTCTCCCCAGCCTGGCTGTGGCTGCCATCCCGGAGGGCCTGCCCATCGTTGTCATGGTCACACTGGTCCTGGGAGTGCTGCGGATGGCCAAGAAGAGGGTCATTGTGAAGAAGCTGCCCCTCGTGGAGACGCTAGGTGAGGGACTGCGGGCCCTGCCCACTGCCAGTGCTGTGATTCCAGCTCCCTGAGGTCTTAGAGGACAGAGGAGCACCGTCTCGTGGGGTGTCCAAGGCCGTCATCTTCTCAGAAGCAGACTGCCTCATCTTCCTCCCAAGAGGTGGCTGGTGGATTTGAACTGCCAACCTAGTGGCTAGCAGAACATGTAACCACTTAGTAATTATGCCCATGGCCATGAAGTTGATTCTGACGCGGCAATCCTAGAGGACAAAGTAAAACTGCCCCTGTGGGTTTCCCCAAAGCTATAATCTTGATGGAAGCAGTCAGCCTCATCTTTCTCCCAAGGAGTGGCTAGTGAGTTTGAACCACTGACCTGTTAGCAGTCAAATTTCTCATCATGATGTCACCGTGATTCTTCATTTCCATTCACCAAACCAACTGCCCCTGAATTGATTCTGACTCATAACAACCTTGTAGGAGAGAGTAGAGCTCCCATCCCATAGGGTTTCCCAAGCTATGAATCCTTGTGGAAGTCAACTGCCCCACCTTTCTTCCGTGGGGGGGGGCTGGTGGGTTTGAACCATGCACCATAGGACTCTGGTGGGCATGGATTCTCTCACACACCAGGCTGGGTGGGCATTTGGGGGCTGTGGTGTTCTGTAAGCCTGAGAATTGGTGGTAACGACATCTTTTCCCACAAATTCATGTGTCTTTACTGGGCCCAGGTTGCTGCAACATCATCTGTTCGGACAAGACGGGGACTCTGACGGCCAATGAGATGACTGTGACCCAGCTGGTGACCTCCGATGGGCTCCACGCTGAGGTGGGTCCCTTGAAAACAGATTCGGTGTAAGCCATGGTTAGCCCCGCTAGACCCTGTGTCTCCCAGGGCTTCAAATTGGTTCCACCCCTTTCCGTCACAAAGTGCGGCGGGTGACATCAGAACCGCCCCAAAGTTTTACCATTGTAGTGACCCAGTGTGAACAAGATAAATTAATAGTTGCAGTCTGGCCAGAATCTTAATCTCCCTTTCTTGGGTCCATGGGCACATGGCTTGGCAAACAAGTTTTGCCCCTCAGAGTGGGGAACAATGGTGTCTGGCTCAAATATGGCAGCCAGTCATGCTGCCTTGAGTGTGTGCTGCCCTCTGCAGTCTGGCGACTAATCCAGTCTCCTGCATCAGGCTCCTGAACGTACTCACCATTCCTCGTCCAAGTCTTTCACTCCGGGGCACCGGCCAGGAATTTTTCCCAGTCTGGTGATCATTCCACTGCAGCCACATTTTACAAATTCGGGTCTCTTCCGGGTTAGTGTTGTTGACCATGATGGAGTCGGAGCTAGCCTGGGCTGGGCTGAAGCCTGGATTTCCCAGACCAGGCACTGCTGGTGACTTCCTGCTGGTGACATCCCCCACGGGTCTCCCCCTGCAGGTCAGCGGAGTTGGATACAGTGGCAAAGGGAGCGTGTGCCTTTTGCCATGCAAGGAAGCCCTTAAGGAATTTTCCAACGTCTCCGTGGGGAAATTGGTGGAGGTAAGTGGATTTTTAAAAGCACCTTGGTTCGTGATGACTCGTTTCAGATGGGGATTCTCTTAAAAGAGAGATAACCGTTAGACCTACTTGTGCTTGGGGACCTTTGGGCCACTGCAGGGTTCAGGGGTGCAGCGTTACAGGCCTGCAAAATGTCCGAGGGACATAAGGATTGAGCTGGAACGCTTTCCTGGGGAGAGGACCCAAGAATCAGATGTTGGCCAAGGAGCACAAGATAAAGGGCTCTGGGTGTTGTGATCGAGGCTGGCATTTCAGGGGTGGAATTCTTGCCTTCCACGTACCAGAGTCAGCTTTGATTCCCAGCCGAGGCCCAGCCTCCACCCGCCTTCCCGTGTGTTGCTATGAGGCTGAGTAGGTATCAGCAGAGCTGCCAGACCCAGGTAGACTTGAAAGAAAGGCCTGGTGATCTAGTTCCTAAAGCCAGCTGGGAAGAACTCCAGGGGCCACCGGGTCTGATCATTCCACTGCATCCGGCGCCTGGAGCCGCCATGAAGCTAGCTGATGGCAACCCGGCCCTGGTCACTACATGCCCTCTGCCCTCGGCTCCTCCCTACACGTCAGTCCTGGGTCATCCTCACGCGCCCCAGCACGCTCAAGTGATTGCTGCAGCTACGATGGCAGCCCCTCTCATGGAGGACCTCCCTCCCTGGCCCTCTGCCTCACCCCAAACAATGGCTCTCTCTAACAATTCATCCCCCCCATGACATGCCCAAAGCATGAAGCCGAACACGTCCTGTAGGAAACGCGTAAGGTGAGTGTTGGCTGGCCACCGTCTTGGACTCAAAGCTCTGCTGAAGCCTGTCCACCCCCAGAGACCCTGCTGGGTTTGGAACTGCTGGTGGCCTCGCTTCTAGCACCCCGGTTACATGCAGTCATACCCACAGTGGGACAGATCGACGGGGTGGGGGTCCCTTAGAAGAAGCAAGCTACATATGGCAGCCTACGGCACACTCATGGGAAGTTAGACTCCACTTTCTCAAAGGAGAGTGGAGCCAGGCGACTTGGGGGTATTTTTTGTTTGTTTGTTTTAAACATTTTATTAGGGGCTCATACAACTCTTATCACAATCCATACACACATCAATTGTGTAAAGCGCATTTGTACTTCATTCTCAAAACATTTTCTCTCCACTTAAACCCCTGACATTAGGTCCTCATTTTTCCCCTCCCTCATGAGCCCTTGATAGTTTATAAATTGTTATTTTGTCATATCTTGCCCTGTCCGCCGTCTCCCTTCACCCACTTTTCTGTTGTCCGTCCCCCAGGGAGGAGGTCACATATAGTCCCTTGTAATCGGTTCCCTCCTTCCTACCCACTCTCCCTCCACCCTCCCTGTTTTGCCACTAACACCACTGGTCCTGTAGGGGGGTATTTTTTTAAAATAGTTTTTATTGGGGGCTCTTACAGCTTTATAACAATCCATACACCAATTGTATCAATCACATTTGTGCATATGTTGCCATCATCATTTCCAAAGCATTTTCTTTCTAGTTGAGTCCTTGGTATCAGCTCCTCTTTATTTCTCTCCCTCTCCTCCCCTCCCACCCTCATGAACCCTTGATCAATTATAAATTATTGTTCTTGTCCTATCTTACACCATCCAGGACCCCTCTTCACCCACATTTCTGTTGTGTTGTTCGTCCCGGGGCTGGGGGTGGGGGTTGTACATTGATCATTGTGACCAGTCCCCGCTTTCTCCCCCTTCACCCACACTCCCCCCACCCTCATAGTATCACTACTCCCATTACTGCTCCTGAGTGGTTTATCTGTCCTGGATTCTGTGTCATGAGCTCTTTTTATTTTCATTTTTTAAAAATCATTTTATTGGGGCCTCATCCAACTCTTCTCACAATCCATCCACCATCCATTGTGTCAAGCACATGTGTACGTTTGTTGCCATCGTCATCCTCGGAACATTTGCTCTCTGCTTGAGCCCTGGGACCGGAGCGTGTTTTTAAGGAAAAGCACCAAGCTGACTGAAGTGTCTGCCAGTTGGAGAGGGCTTCCGAAAGACGGTGGGAAAACGGATGCGAGATCACGGCATCGTCCCACCTGTGTTGTGAGCCGCGTACACACACACACACACACACACACACACACACACACACACACACACACCTCTCCCCCGAGTGCTTGCTGTCTTTGTTGTGAATAGCGGGTGCTGGCCCACTGCCCTCGTAAACTGGAGCAAGTCTCCAGGGACTAACGTGCCCCCGGAATGCTGCCTCCGGGTCCTCAGCTGAGATTCCCGGCCCTTCTCGCTGCAGGCAGGCTGTGTGGCCAACAACGCCATCATCAGGAAGGGGACAGTGATGGGACAGCCCACGGAGGGGGCCCTGGTCGCCCTGGCCATGAAGGTAGGGGTGCTGGCAGTCTGCACTGGGCATGCTCTCCGCTCTGCGCTGGGTGGGTGTGTATGCTCTGCCTGCGCTGCCCACAGGAAGGGAGTCCGAGACACTGAGGGCCACCTGTCCCTCGTTGGCGATGTTATTTATTACAGTGAAAACACCCACAGCAGAAACATTTACCGCTTTCAGCAACTTCTGCGTGTATGAGTCAGTGACCGATAATGCCCTTCAAGTGCGGAACCATTTTCCCCAGCCTTTTCTGAATCCCTCGCTGGCGCGCCCCTCCCCCCTTCCCCAGCAGCATGCATTCAGTATCCTCTAAGCAATAGCTCTTCTTCTCCTCCGTCACTCCCACCCCTGATAGCCACTGATCATCCCTGGTCTCTAGATAATCACCTATCTCGTGGACAAGAGATCAAACCGCGTGTGTGGCTTTGCGGCTGGCTGGCTGTGCTCAGCAGGGCGGTTTTAAGGTTCACTGGGCTGTGGTGTGCAGTGTGACGTAGTACTCTGTTCTGTTTATCCTCCTGGACCTGCTGCCCTTTGGGTTAGCAGCCTAGCATTTGACCCTGTGCAGCCAGGGCTCCAGCCAAGAGGTTAGGTTTCCAACTAGGATTCCCTGATTTGCTCTCCTGGGAAGACTTTTCACTTTCCCCACCCCCTAGCCACCCCCCACCACACACGAAAAATTTTAGGGACAAAGATGCCCTGAGCATATATTTAGGTATTGTGTGTGTGTGTGTGGGGGGGGGGGGTATTGTGTGTGTGCATGTGTGTTTGTGGTGTATGTGTGTGTTAGTGTTAGTATATGTGCGTGTCTATATGTATGTGTATTTGTGTGTGTGTTTGTGTACGTGTGTGTCTCATGCATTCAGAAGGATTTTCCATTGCCCAAGAAGCTGTTCTTTGTCCACTGTAGGAGTAATAGGGGTGCCTGGGTTAGGACGGGTTTGGCCCCAAAGCTGTCAGAACAAACATTAGCCTTGGCCTAGGCTCCTGGGCTGATGACCCATCAGGGCCACCTTACTGGCCTAGGGTGGACACAAGATCCCATCTGGGGGAAGTCAAGTTCAGAGGGGCCTCAGGGTGCTGCCAAACAGTTAACACGCCCACCTGGCTGCTAAACTAAAAGATGGTGGAGGTTGGTATCCACCCAGGAGTGCCTCAGAAGAAAGACCTGGTGACCTAGTTCTAAAAACCCAGCCAGTGAAAACCCCGTGGCACACAGCTCTGCCCTGGCTGCCACGGGTCGGAGTGGACATGCAGGCAAGGCAGGGTGCAAGTCTAGAACATTCCTGACTGCCTTTTGTCTCTAAGTAGATTTCAGATCCCGCAAAACAGACAAAAGCAGCAGGGGTCTGTTGTGGTGGGGCGTGTAAGAGAGCCTAGTGCCAGGGTACCCCCACCCCCAACATGCGCCTGGCCAGAGGTGGTTTGTATGTGGACCAGGCTCTGCGGGATCGGCTGACACCCCTCACCGACTCCTCCTTGCAGATGGGCATGAGCGATGTTAAAGATGGCTACGTGAGGAGCAGGGAGATCCCTTTCAGCTCAGAGCAGAAGTGGATGGCCGTGCGATGCAGCCCAAAGAACGGGGTGAGTGCTGGCGGCTCCCCCTGCTCCTTCCTGCCCGGCCCCTCTAAAATGGACAACAAAACCCAGGCGGCAGAGAGAAGGCATCCAAGCTCCTGGGCTGTCCCCATGGTTGTTAAATGCCCAGTAGTCTTCGACTCACAGTGACCCTGTGTAGGAGCCCTGGTGGCACCGTGGGTCATGCACTGGGTTGCTAACTTCAAGGTCAGCAGTTCGAAACCACCAGGCAGTCCAAGGGAGAAAGATGAGGCTTCCTGCTCCCATCAGGAGTTACCCTCTTGGAAACCCAGAGGGGCATTTCTCCCCTGTCCCATAGAGTCCCTGTACATGGGCATTGACAGAATGGTGGCGAGTTTGATTTTTTGAGCTAGCAACGCTTTGTGACAGAGAGCAATGGTCTACAGACTGTACAGCATCTACAGCCTGGGGTTGACAGGGCTCAAGGGTGAGACCACTGGCCCCTAGTTGCTGAGTAATGACCCCCACCTCCCGCTTACCCCCACCCCACACACGGGACCCCCACAGATCCCCCCATTGTGGCTGTTGGTGCACGTCACCCAGCACACTGTTTCCTGAGCTACTATCTCACGGGTGCACATCTTTCACCTGTGGGTCCCCTGGCGGGTTGGAACCACCGACCAGGAGCTTAGTCGCCAAGTGCTTAACCTACACGCCACCACGCCTCTTTGGACTCTAAGAGACTCTAAACTACAAGCTGATTGGGGTTTTCTGGGGCCATCTCCTGGGGCCCTCGGTCTAAAGCACTGGCTCAGGTTAGGCCCGAGCCAGCCAGGTGAAACTCGCCTGGGCCCATACCCAGACCCCTGCATGACAACCCTCGACCCCCCACCATGACTATGCAGGGCAGGGTAGTGAGGTGCACACTGCCTAGCAGGGGTGTCCCATGTGACGGGGGGTTCCTCCCTCTGGTCTCTTCCCAGGAGCAGGATGAGATCTACTTCATGAAGGGGGCCTTGGAGGAAGTGACCCGGCATTGCACCGCCTACAACCATGGGGGCCTCTCGCTGCCACTGACCCCCCAGCAGCAGGCGCTGTACGGGCAGGAGGAGACAAGGCTGGCCTCATTGGGCCTGCGAGGTCAGTGGCCTGGCATGCTGAGCTTTCAAGGGCACCAGCCAGGGGTCCTTTGCCCATCAGGGAGTCTGGCAGAAAGGCCGTTGGGCTGCTTGTGCTGAGGCAGGAGAGGAGGGGAGGGGCGAGGGAAGCAAGTTGGGGGACCAGTAACTGACCTGAGTGGACCCCAATTCAGGGCGGTGCCACCATGTGCCCAAACAGAGTTGTGCACCAGGGTCCGCAGTGGCTCGCCTTCCTTAAGGGTGCCCTCTGGGTGAAGTGGGATCTCCAACCTCTCAGTGGGCAGCGGAGCGAGTTAACACCATCTGCACCCTGCAGGAGCTCCCTCGCTGAGCCTCTTCAGACCACAAAGAGCCCCCCCCAGGCGCTAAATGCCCTAAGCCTTGGCAGCTTCTAACCCCAAACTGAGCAAAAACCCACCCACGGCCACCGAGTTGACGCCCACGCGGCAGTGCTGTGGGACGGGGTAGGACTGCCCCTGGGTTTCCGAGACGCTTTCTTTATGGGAGTAGAAAGCCTCGTTGTTCTCTCTTGGGCCGGCTGGTAGGTTGGAACCGCTGACCAGTTCAACATGGAACCGAGAGGTCAGTGGGTGGAGCTCACCAGCCACTCCCAGCGAGAAAATGAGGATGCCCAGCCCCCTCGGAGGCCCGTGGCAAGGGTCCGCACCTCCCTTCAGGGGCCCTGTTGGAATCGGCACGACAGAGTGCGTGCGTAAGCCCCTCGCCACGTGCTCGAGGGCCCGTTGTGTTGGCACGTGGCCACGTCGGCATTCTGAGCAGCACCGATCCCCCTCCTCTGAGAAGCAGTGCACGCGCGCGCGCGGACACAGGGACGGACACACACACACACACACGCATGCGCGCCTCCCTGCCCCGCCCCCCAGCTTGTCTGCTGGCTGGCCCCACTGCATGTTCCCTTTTCTCGGGCAGAACTGGGGTGTGGGCTCCTGCTGTTCACTGGGGCAGAGCCATTGTCACCCTTCTGTCCCGTCACCCTCCCAACAGAGCCGTCTCACACATCCCTGGTCCCCCAGGAGAGTCTGTGCAGTGCAGCAGGGGGCCTGGGGGAGCCGCGGGTCAGCACTGGGCTGGGGACCCGAAGGCTGGTAGTGCAAACCCTCCCGGTGTGCTGCCGAGGAAGACTGGCAATCCCAGCCTTAGAGCCAGCCCCTTAGGAACCCACCCGGGCAGCTCGACTGCCTTAGAGGGTCACTGTGAGTCAGGATCGACTCCAGGGCACATGGCTACCTTAGCTCACAGGTGAATAGCATGCCTCAGTTTCCTCCTGTTATTGGAAGGCACTCTGGTAGTTAGGAGAGAGCCCGTGGCCCATGTCTTGGTTCACAAGAACCAGCCAGAAAGCGGGCCTTGCCTGAGGAGCTGTCAAACATGCAAGGAGAAAGAGGGAAGGAAAGACAACAGAAGTCTTTTGTCCACGCGCTTTAAAAAAAAAAGGTTTTACAGCATTTACTTCACTCTGATAGGATGTAATCGTTTAGTCATATACAACCAGGAAGGAAACAAACAAAAGCCAACAATGGTTAGACAGAACAGAAAAACCCCAAAGGACAAGCAGGACCCACTGAAAACGGAAGCCAACTTGAAAGGGAGATCAGATGAAGAGGTGCTCATGTAATATGGCGCTACACTGTAGCATTGCTCATGTGATGAGGTGTTACATTGTAACACTGTGTATGTGATGAGGTGTTACACTATAACGAACTACATCTGCCAGCAGTTTGAAGCTCGCTCTTGTGGGTCCTGGTAGTGCTACTGACTTCCTGGATGCTGATGATAAGAATGTCCATGTGTTTTACTGGCTGGCTGCCTGAGGTCCTCAGGGTGGAAACCTCTGTGCAGTGTCCCCTCGGCCCCCGTGGACCCGTGTGTCTCGGTCTCTCCTCAGTGCTGGCCCTGGCGTCCGGGCCCGAGCTGGGCCACCTGACGTTCCTGGGGCTTGTAGGGATGATCGACCCGCTGAGGGCAGGTGTGAAGGAGGCTGTGCAGGTGCTCTCTGAGTCGGGGGTGTGCGTGAAGATGATTACGGGGGACGCCCTGGAGACGGCCCTGGCCATCGGTAAGCGGGGAGGGGAAGGGGGAGGAGCGAAAAGCCCCCTAGCCCCACCCTGTAAAACAGGGATGGTACTGGGATGGCACAAGATTGAGGCTCCTGGACCAGTGCTCCTCCTTCCATGGGGTTTCTGTCCCCACTACCTGTGGGTGGAGGGGTCCCCCAAGTGGAGAAAGACCTTGTGTCTGAGTATCTGCCGGAGGCTGGGTTTTGTCTCCATGGGCAGCTCTGCTCCCAGTGGACTATTCCCATCTGCCACTGGCTGTGTGGCCCAGGCAATTCCCTAAACCACTCTGACCCTCACTCTCTTCTTTATCGGAGAGCTAGCACCCCATCCTCCTTGAAGACTGTGGGGCTATCACACCTCAGCCTTCCTGCTGCCCAAAGGCAGCTGGGGACTCCAGCTGCAGTGAGACCACTCCCCAGCAGCATGCCCTTGCTGGGCCTTGGGGGGTGGCATATCCCTAGTTCCTCCCTGCAGGAAGGGATGGCACACAGCCAGGGCTGGGTCAGCGGTGGGTGGTGTTTATTCTTCAGTGGGGCAGGGAGGGAGGGGGCAGGTGGCCAGCTCTCAGGCCTCAGAGCACGCCCTGAGGGCTGTCCTCCCCAAGGAAGAAGCATTGGCCTGTGCAATGGGCAGCTGCATGCCATGTCTGGGGAGGAGCTGGACAGCATGGACGAGGGCCAGCTGGCTGAGCAAGTCAGAAAGGTAGGACCTCACATATAGGGTGTGGGGGGTTCTGTCTGTGTGGAGGTGGGGGCCCAGGGCAGCGTTCCCTGGCTATAGGATGATAGGGAGCCCAGTGTAGATGCATAGGGGGCTCCTGAGTCAGCCCTATGATCCCTGACCTGCTGCCCCACTGTGTATCCACCCCAGGTATCCGTGTTCTTCAGAACCAGCCCAAAGCACAAACTCAAAATCATCAAGGTAGGTGTGTGCAGGTGATGGGGGCAGGGGCTGGGCATCATGTGCCCCCCCAGACCACTGTCCAGACCCAGCCGCCTCACTCCACGCAATGCCACTGCTCCTCCACAGCCAGTGGGAGGAGCGTTCAGAGCTCAAACCCCATTGGTGGTGCCTGGTCACCTGTCATGTCTGGCTACAAGGGATGCTGGGATGTGCAAGTGCCAGCTTGGAGGGAGGGGGGCTGTGCCCACTAATCCTGGGGGCTGGCTGAGCAGAAAAGTGGGAGAATGGGCCCAAAGGGGTGGGGGTGGATTGGCCTAGACACTGCCTCGATGGTGTGCTGAACCCCATCCAGTTCAGGGCCTGTGGCCCCACTTTTCAGGCTGAGAAATTGAGGTTGAGTTGCCCAAGGCCCCAGTCTGCCAGAAAGGGGCCTGCTGTGGGTGAGCTGAAGCTTCCAGAAGCCAGGCTCCGACTGTGCCCCCTTCCCTCTGCACCTGAAGGCCTTGCAGGAGTCAGGGGCGATCGTGGCCATGACGGGGGATGGGGTGAACGACGCGGTGGCCCTGAAGTCGGCAGACATCGGGATCGCCATGGGGCAGGCGGGCACAGATGTCAGCAAGGAGGCTGCCAACATGGTGCTGGTGGACGATGACTTCTCCGCTGTTGTGTAAGCTGTGCGCGCAGCCGGGTGGGACGTGCAGCCGGGGACAGGCCCTGGAGCCCGCACCCTGGGCTTGAGCTCCGGCTTGGTGGCAGGGGCTGAGAAAGCAGGCCCCCTGCAGCCTGGTTCTGGAAGGTGTCCCAAGGGCACCGTGAAATGCCGTCGGTGTCCCTCAGGGGTCATTGACAATGCCACTCACACTGGTGTGGTCGCAGTAGAAAAGGCCTGATCCCTCCACCTGTCCACAGGCAGGTACAAATGAAGTGAGTGTCTGGTGGGGCAGGCAGTGGAGACACTGAGGGGTCTGCACCCAGAAATAGCTTCCAGCAGTGTCTTCCTGGGCACTGATTACCCAGTGAGCCCTCGGGCTAACCCCCTCCCCTCCCACTCATCCACATGCCTTATTTGGGAAACGTGTAAATAGATATTCTGATGAGTCAAAAAGACAAAACAAAACTCACTGGATTCTGACTCGCGATGACCCTACAGGACAGATAGGTGTCTGAGGCTGTAACTCTGCCCCATCTTTCCCCTGCTGGTGGGTTTGAACCACAGACCTTGCAGACCAGGGCTGCTTTAGGCTTCTGTAGTTGTCCTCTCTCAGTACACTCCCTTCCCTCTGGATCCACACCGGCTCCTAATGGAGGCCACTTGGGTCAGTCACAGTCATCAGAAATGCACGGGGGTGGGGGGGCGGGGTTTCTTCACACTGGGTTCACTGCGGAACCCTGGGGTCTGTCCTCGGTTCAGAGAGGCAGGAGCAATCCTGAGAGGCAGCCCACTTCACATAGAGCCCTGCCCTTCGTTACCTCGTTTCTTTTTAAAAGCGCCTTACGTAGTCAGGGTCTAATCCACAAGGACTCGGGGTCCCCATCCTTCCCCTCTTCTCACCTGGCCCTGGCCAGGCAGTCCCCTCGGTCCCCCCTGAAGTGGGATTTGCAGGTGAGACCAACAAGTGGGTACTGTCTTCACAGAGCCTTACTCTGAGGCAGGACCAGGAGCCCTGGGGGTAAGGTCAGGCTGCTCACTGCCCCATGATGGCTCGAACCCCCAGCTGCTCCTGGGGGAAAGGTGAAGCCGTCTGCCCCCGTGAAGGCTGGCGTGACAGCCTGGGGCAGCAGCTCTGCCCTGGCTCTCAGGGCTGCTGTGGGTCAGAACTGACTTGACGGCAGTGAGTGGTTCAGGTCATCGAAGGATGGAACTTGTCTGCTCTGCTAAAGACAGACAGACCCACAGACCAGCTCTACGAGTGGCAATTGACTCAGCAAGGCAGTGAGTTTGGTTTAATGCACGAAAGGCTCAAAGCCTTTTAAGGGAAGGTGGTGTAGTGGTTAAGCACTGGGTTGCTAACCACAAGGTCAGCAGTTCAGAACCACCAGCTGCTCTGAGAGGAGGAGGGGCATTCTACTCCTGTAAAAGGCCAGTCTTGGACAGGCACAGGGGCAGCTCTATTGTACCCTACAGGGTCGAGGTGAGTTTGGTTAGAGGGACAGGCTCGCTCATTTCCCAGGGAGGGCAGATTTACTTCCAGGAAGGTAAATTTGGTGGTTGTTGTCAGCAAGTGGCCCTGAGGATCCTGGGCACTGCCTGGACTGGCCATGCTGACACTGGTACCAGGTGGTCCCCGGGCTCCTGATGAGTCTAAATGAGGCCAACCTATTGGGAGCCAGCGTGTCTCCGGAGAAGGCCTGATGTCACACTGACCACAGCCTCGTTTTACCCGACTGACCTCTCTCTGAACCGCTGCTTCCCATCCTCCAGAGACGCCGTGGAGGAGGGCAAGGGGATTTTTTACAACATCAAGAACTTCGTCCGCTTCCAGCTGAGCACGTGAGTCAGACGGCCCTTTGGGTGGGGGGTCGGGAGGGTCTGTGCTTCTGGAGCTGAGCTAACAGTGGGGACCCCACCTGCAGGAGCATCTCTGCCTTGAGCCTCATCACGCTGTCCACAGTGCTCAACCTGCCCAACCCACTCAATGCCATGCAGATCCTGTGGATTAACATCATCATGGATGGGCCGCCCGCACAGAGGTGGGTCTCCCAGTAAATGTGTGGTTAAAGAAGGGGGGCAGGAGACGTCTGCTTGGAGCCAGCTCCCACCCCAAGAGTGGGGGCCAGTTTATCTAGCCAAGACCAGATTCTGAGGGTGCCAGGGTTGAGGATGACAGGCCCAGGGCTCTGCAGCATTGGCCTTCAGCCCTGTGTCACCAGCCTGCTCTGTGCAGCCTGGGGATGGAGCCAGTGGACAAGGACACCCTGCGCCAGCCACCCAGGAGCCTTGGGGACACGATCCTTAGCCGATCCCTCATCCTGAAGATCCTGCTGTCCGCGGCCATCGTCATCAGTGGGACCCTCTTTGTCTTCTGGAAGGAGGTGCGTGACCACTGAGCTGCAGGCTGAAGGCAGCACATCTCTAATCCAGCTGACTGCCGTCATGTCAGCCCCGACCTGAGCCACCTCCAGGCACTGGGTGCAATTACCCAAAGGATGGCAAGATTCCTCAGAGGAGCTGCTGGGATTGAACTGCTGACTCCTTGGGCTTAGGAGCTAGTCTAGGGTTGGGCCCAGAGCTTGCAGCCCAGCAGGTGACCTCAGCCAGAGAGGCCCAGCCTGTGGGCCTCTAAGCCCTTTCCTGTTAGGGGCCTGCTGCCCCACTCCTGGAGAGGCAGTGCCCAGGGCCCAGCAATCCTCTCCCTGGCCTTCCTGGTCTGTCATCACTTAAGGCAGATTTATTATAGGCGTGTCACCACCTCCAGAGTGTACCCCTGGAGCAACAAGCACACCTGCTCCCTAAAGGTGATGGCCGAGGAAACCTTGGTGGGGGGGCAGTCCTACTGCCCCACGAGGTCACTATAGAATCCACCCTCCACCCCCAGGAAGCAGCACCTCTACCTGTCCAGGCTTCAGGCATAGAGGTGCACACCTGTCCTCCCCTGACACGGTGGTGATGGGCCGGTGGAAGGGCAGTCCTTGGAACCACCAGCCGCTCAGACCAGGAGTCCTTCTACTCCCATAAAGGGTGGCCGTTTGAGCCTGTCCTGTGAGAATCCCCTGGTGACAACAGCCCAATGGGCCGAGTGTGCCCCAGGTGACTGGCTCCGATTCCAGCCTCGGAACGCCTCCCCCCACCTCCACAATTCTCATGTCCTCCACAATCACTGGGGGGCCGTGGGCGAGGCTCACCTCCCTGCTCACCTCTTCCCCCTGGTTTCAGATCCCAGAAGACAAGGCCAGCACACCTCGCACCACCACCATGACCTTCACCTGCTTTGTGCTCTTTGACCTCTTCAACGCTCTTACCTGTCGCTCCCAGGTGAGGCCTCACCCAGGCAGCAGGGGATCCAGCGGTGACAGGGGCTGTGTCTGCCCACCGACGCCCCTCACCACCTCTCCTCCCCGCAGACCAAGCTCATCTGGGAGGTGGGCTTCCTCAGGAACCGTGCCTTCCTCTACTCGGTGCTGGGCTCGCTCCTGGGACAGCTCGCTGTCATCTACCTGCCCCCGCTGCAGCGGGTCTTCCAGACAGAGCAGCTGGGCGCCCTCGGTGAGTGAGGGGCTCCAGGCAGCCTGGGACGGGGTCTCATTATCCAGCAGTTTTCATGGGGGGGCTGAGGCTGCCAGGCAGTCAGGCGGGAGCTGGTACCCCAGTTTGTTCCACCTTCCCCGTGGAAGCATCGGTGCTTCCTGCTGGCTAAGCCCTTCCCCTCCCTTCTGCCGTGGCCAGATCTGCTCTTCCTCACCGGCCTGGCCTCATCCGTCTTCATCCTGTCGGAGCTGCTGAAACTCTGTGAGCGGTACAGCTGCCCGGCCGCCCGCCAGCCCTCCCACTCCAGGACTGGGAGCCGCTCCCCATCCTCCCAGGAGCGGCTGGAGGAAGCGGCAGGATGCGGTCCTTCCTGGAAGGCCCCTCCGTTGGGGGACGCGCCCTGAGGAGCATGGACAGGAACACGTCTCTATTTATTAAATCACGATTTTTAAGACCCGCGTCTCAAGACGTTCTTTGAAGCAAAGCTCCACAGGAAAAGACACGTGTGCAGATGCTGCCCCACTGAACAATGCCCTCTGGTGACTCTGAAGGCCTCCTGCTAGGGACGGGGCTCCCCTGCCTCCGCCACACTCTCTTGATGCTTCTTCCCCATCCAGGCGCAACGCGGGCCCCACAGGTCAGCCCCAGGTGGATGATGTGTCCTGGTTAAGGCTTAAGGGGAGTGGGGGGGGGGGGTCCTCTATAGAAATAGATGCACACATACCATGCTCACATGTGCCCCCGCCAGTAACATTTAGGGGGTGTCAGGATGAGCCAGACTCACTGCCGTCAGGTCCCCTCACAGCGACCCTCCTGAGACTGTAACTCTCTCCCGGAGCAGAAAGCCTCATCTTTCTCCTGTGGGGCAGCTGGTAGGTTGGAACCACTGACCTTGTAGTTCGTGCAGCTCAACAGATATCCCACTGGTCCCCACCAGGGGTCCAATTTGCCAGGTACAAAGAGGGGGCTACATCGTAAGGCTGCAGGGGTCAATGAGAGTCCAGAAAGCAGCTAACCGTCCTCAACACTTAGGCCCCCGAGAACGGAAATGGACCGGACAGCAAGGCAGGTCCAGTGGCCCTCTCAACTGAAGATTTCAATCCCACCCCCCACCCCACCCCAACTATCTAACAAGAGATCGGAAGCACCACCAATCACCCCCAAAATAAAAAAGCCAAACCTTCTGCCACTGAGCCCATGCTGACTCCTAGAGGCCCCACAGTGGTTCTGAGGCTGGCAAGCCTTATGGGAACAGAGAGCCTCATCTTTCTCCCACAGAGTGGCGGGTGGCTTTGAACCCCTGACCTTGTGGTTTAGCAGCCCGTGCTTACCTGGCAACACTACCACTGCCTCCTTTGGGCAGGAAACCAGCAAGGACATCGGAAACAGCAGCAGCGAGCAGAGAAGAAACGGATGGGGACACAGAGGTGTTAGGTTCTGATCCAGCCCCATCTAAGAGCACTTGAAAACACACAGAAAAGACCACACCACTACCAACACCTATAGTCCAGGACTCGGCAACCCTTCCTACACACTGCAGCGAGGCAGCACAACCTAGGGAGGCCCTGTGCCACCAGGGCTCCTGAAAAGGGGATCTGGAGAGCCGGAAATGAAGCTCGTTTGCCGAGGGCTGGGAGGGAGAGGGTGAGCAAGTCTAACAAGGAAGGGGTTTCTTTTGGGGGTGATAAAAGCATTCTAGAGTCCGACATTGGTGCCACAACCCTGTGGACATTTTAAAAGCCTCTCCGTTTCCCACGCTGGAATGGTAAATTTTACGGGTGGGCCACTAACCACAAGGTCAGCAGTTCGAAACCACCAGGAGAAAGATGGGGCTTTCTACTCCTGTAAAAATCAACAGACTCAGAAACCCACAGGGGGAGTCAGGATTGACTTGAGGGCATGGGGTTTTGTTTGCTGGGTTGGTTTTGAAAAACCAGTACATCCCTGCATCACAATGGACGGTGGCCCGGCCGGCCTGAGAAACGGAACCCTGCTGTCTGAAGCACAACACAAGCCCGCCACAAGAGGGTGACTGCCGACGGACTGGCTTCCAGGAAAGCAAGGCGAAACTCAGAAAGCAGACATGATTCGCAGTCAACTGAGGGTGGGAGGGTGCGCGGGGCATGGAGTTGATGTGCACGGTGTTGGGGCCTTGGGGAAAGGGTGGAGAGAATGGTGACCATGTGGAAGGACATCACGGGTGTCCCCATTTGCACCTGCTGCTTCTCCACCAATCACAAGACACCCTCCTCTAGGGACCAGTCTCCCTGGATGATGTGTCTAAAGTACAGGAGACTTTGGGGAGCATCCTGGCTATACTTCTTCTAAGACAGATCTGTGTCATAGACCACTGACAGAAAAGTTAAAACAGAAAACCATTCACAAACATGGC